TTAATTATTTATTAAATTATGAATAAAATATAAGTTTTGATTTTTTCCAATTATTTTTGATCCATACTGTATATATATATATTTAATTCTTTTATGTCTTAAATATTTTTTGAGTAAGTAGCTATAATTATTATAATAAATTTAATACTAAAATAAAACTGACAATATAATTATTTTTTCTATTCTTTACAATATATAAACTTTATTTTAACAAAACGAATAAAAATTTATTTAGATTTTTTATATAATACTAATAATAATTAACAATAACACAATAATAATTAATTATTTAATATTAGTTTAAAGTAATAAAAAGGTAACAATATATTAATACTAAAATAATCAATGCCTGATTGCTTAAATTTAATAAATAAAAGAATAAGATCTTTCTAAAATCAATTAAATTTCTATTGGTAAATTAAATTTTATTTAAAATAACATACTATGTATGTAGTATATAGCATAAGACAAAAACAGTAGCACTTTATTTTTTATTATTTAATAAACAATTGTTGAACAAAATAAATATTTAAAATCAAATAGTTTCTCTATTTATAAATAGTTTTAATTAAAAAAGTTCTATTTATTAATACTATATATTAATATTCAAAAAAAAATATTTTTATATAAAGTTGCCATCCGTTTTTTTATTTGATGTACATATTCAAAATATTTTTACGTGTTTTTTTTCCTGATACAAAAGATTTTAAAAGATGGTAACAATAATTTAACTGAAATTATAAAACCTAATAAAAATTAATTTTTTAAATCCAATATTTTAAATGGAATTTTTAATAAAGTTTTTAATTAAAATCATATTGTTGTGGGTAAAAAGTATCGTGACACACCGTCGCGTCATGTTATGAGATCGTTGGTGAGAAAAGTTAGAGGTAAGCAAATTAAGGTGTGAGGAATTTAGTAGCGGAAATTTCTAGGGTAACGTAGAATAGTAAACAGATGTAAACATGTAAATAATAGGCGCATGTATAAATACACGCGCACTTCAGTAGCATGTAGACGGATCAGAGTTTAGTTTCAGAGTCAGTAACGCCTTAAGTAATAAACAATAAAAAGTAACGTATAAAGATAAACTCTTACCTTGTGTTTAGTGAGCCAAAGTAGACTTGTAACTTGGGCTACGCGACTACAAGAGAGAACCGAGGTTTACCTAAGGCATTGGAAGGTTCTAGGTTAATCGGTAGAGAAGTTAAAGAGAGAGAACGACCAAATCGGAAACACGCCTCAAGAGTTAGGGAAGCTTACCTTATTGTAAATTCGAAGAAGTGAGAAGCACTGTGGGCTGGCACAAAATATACTTTACATACATATTTTACACTGGGATCAACCTCTGGTTGGTTTTTATTAAGATAATTGCTTAAGCTATTACACATAGTATCTACTAGATGTTACTATCTGTATCATTGAAAACCTTCCGAATCAGTTACTCATTACAGGCCACTGCTGCTTGTTGTCTCTCCCATGAGAGCTAAAATATTTAATAATAACAAGAAAAGTTTTTTTTTATTACAAAAAATTTTTCTGTCGTTTTTTTCCAATAGTTTATATGATATATATTAGACTATAATGATTATTCTCTAATGCTAGGTCAAATTAAGTATATGGATGGCTCGAGAATTTGTATGTCGTAATTGATAATTCAAAAAAATATCCAATCTACACTTATCTGTCATTGCTGTCATTAATAAAAAAAATAAGGGCTATAAATATTACTAGAAGTTGAATGTGGAGAAGCGTCAGCCTCAAAAAAATAAGGGTTAGGAATGTAAATTAAATTTTGATATGAAGGGACAGCAGTCCCGGAAAAATGAGGGCAGGAAATATTACTAGAAGTTGATTGTGGAGAAGTAACGTTCTCGGAAAAATGAAGGTTAGGAATATAAAATGAATTTTGATATAATGAGACGGTGGTCCCAGAAAAATGCGGGCTGGAAATATTACTAGAAGTTGAATGTGGAAAAGCGTCGACCTCAGAAAAATGAGGGTTACTAGAAGTTGAATGCAGAGAAGCGTCATCCTCGGAAAAATGAGAGTTAGGGATGTTTTTATTGACCAAATTATTAAATTCATTATCACGAGTTGAAAAGAAATTATTACTGACTATCGAAGATCCAACATTAATATTATTCATCGGTTTAATTAGACAATTTTGTTCGACCGCAAGAGTGCTCCGAACCTCTACTTTGAACGAGGAGAACATCTTATTATCATTCTTCGCGCTTTTTTTTTGTTTTCTGATTTTCGGACGATAGGTGTAACCTGGATATTTTTTTTTATGTTTTTTCTTTTCCTCTTCGGCCATACGGGCCCACTTTTCCTTTTCTTCCGAGGATAGTTCACGCCACAATTTTGCTGCCTCGATGGATATTTCATTGTTCGACATGTCACTGTTTTCTTTTTGCTTCTTAGCTTGATAATATTTTCTAAATAGAATAAAGCTGTTTGGTGGTCTAGGAGGTTTCTTTTGTTTTTCTGTAATTAAAGTAAGTATCAATGAAAGGTAATCAATATTAATGGCATATCGGATGCTTACTTGTTTTACGCGTATGTGAAACTTGTTCAGTTGTATGAATACTACTGTTTTGTTCCATATTATAATGAAGGAGAAAGAGGAGTCTAAGATTTCTCGGTTTATTTATCCATACTTATTTAAAATTCATGATATATTCAAAGAAGAATTTTTTAAAAACATTAAAATAATGTATTTCCATATCTGGATAAAATTTCAGTCACAAGGTCACGGTATTATTGATTTAGTCATGGATGAAGAAAATCCTATTGAAAAACCGAATTTAACTGACTGAATACTTTGAACGTGTGCAGCAACGTTATAGCCACTTCCAGGTAAAAATATTATTATAATATTTTTAATAATAAATTAGGAAAAATAAATTGATCCGCCCTTCACAATATTATAAACAAAAAAGGTCTTAAATCTCCAAATCCGTACCTACAATTGTACAAAACATCATTAATTTCAATTTAAATTCTTTACGAATGTTTATTTGTGTAACAATTTTTCGTGGGAATTGTTCAACTTTCTACAGTACTGCAAAACACAATACCCATCTGTTATTATACCATGACATTAATTTTAGTTTAAACTAGAAAGGAAATAAGATTAAACTTTGCACACATAATTCTCCTCTAATTTGCTGCATTAAACATTACAAAAAAAGAGAAACTAGATGAACTGATAATCTTGATATTAAATATAATAACAATATTTTACTGCGTCGGTATCAGTGGGAATAATAGGAGTACCGGATCGAGCTTTCCCAAGAGCAATATTATTAGAGTCACCTTATATGATGCAGAATATATTAAAATCGCCTTTATCCTACTATTAAAGTAATCGCTATGAATCAATAGCTCTATTTATTTTAGCATATTGAAACCACAATAATTTTGTCTATCCTTCATCCCGTATTGAATTTTACTAATCTAACATTTTTATGCGTGTGATGCGGTATCTATAGAACCCATGTATCCAGTGAAATGAATCAGAGTAGACTTAATTAAGTGGGGATTGTATTTGTCATAATCGCGCGAGTGAAATTAATTAGTCATTAATTTCTTATATATTAACAAATAGCTCTATTTTCTATAATCAAAATCATGCATAATGGTTTGCTTTCTTTGTATACATGTAAACTTAAAACTATTAGTCATCTTATGTGATGTAAAGCTTGTGGAATTTTTGAAATTTTGAAATAATAAATAAATACGAACCTTTTTTTTATTTTATCTTTTATAGATCATGTGACCTTATTAATATTGCACGGGTATAACTAACTTTCGTGATATTGTCACTGTGGTGTGACGTTTACGAAGTGAACCGGGAAAATCACAGTTACAGTAAGATAATGTAGTTTGATACAATAAGAATAAGTTTTATTTGTATTTATAATATATATTTTTATAAACATATTTTGTAAAAAGGCATATGAACAACTTGCGAAGTAAAAAAAAAAAATTGAAATCATGAAAGCGTTCCGCTTAAAAAAATTCTTGATCATCACCATCGCAACATACATGCAAGGAATAGTTGAATATTATTGCAAGCTAAACAGCGAGTCTGTTTCCAACCGAAGATTTCTCCGCGTAACGTCAGGTATGTTAAGTGTTTGCTGATTTAAACTCTTGGGCATTTTTACATATGACCGATTTGTACTTTAACTTTTCTATCGAGTATACTGGAACCCTTCTTAACTCCAATTTCCTTAGGCAAGCTCGGTTCTCTAGGAAAGTCGCGTGATACGAGTTTCGAGTATTGCGGGTACAGATGCAAATGATATAAGAGTGTAATTAAAAGTTTGAGTTTGTTTTTTAACGACACGAAGGTTTATTTTAATAAATTGTTTTTTATTGTTAGGACAAACAACACTAAATGCTATAATTCTAATCCTAACGAATTGCGCATATATTTATGCATGCGCTCACTTTTTACATGTTTGCATTATTTTATTATTTTTCTAGACTCTACCTTTTTTTTCTACCTATTCGTGTCAACAGGTTGACATGACGTGACACCTTTACCCGTAAAAAATATAAACATGATAGAAGCTTAAATCTAACCTAAGCGATTTCTTAGACAAAGGCTATGTTATAGGCCGGATTGACAAAGGCAATGGAATCCTTAGAGTTTCAGACATCCTTATAATCCGAAAACCTTCTGCAGAAAGATATAGTTTTGAACAATGATAATAGCATTAAAAATTATATCTAGATAATAATATATTTATTAGATCGGTGTATATGTTAAAATAATAATTAAATCGTTATTTAATGTCATTATGCATTAAGAGAGGAGATAACCTAATTGCTATAGAAACCCGTAGTTCGAAGCAAATAAATTCACACCTCAAACCTCAAAAAGTTATAAAAGTATAGATTAGCGTTCCGTCTCTCGCATAAGCTTGAAAGAAATATTAGCTTAGGAAAAGCCTAAAAGGAGGACCGCAGACAAATTACAGCAACCAATGACAATAAACAATAATTCGACTTTAAGAAAAGCAAGATAGGTGATATCCTTGTGTTATATAGTTTATTCGCCTCAATTATTATCGAGTGATGACCAGGTTTGGGGACCAACTCGACGGTGACAATAACTACATAAAGTACCAATTTTTTACACGCATTTTTGATGATAATGCTGATCCACCTGGTAATACAGTTTATGTACGCAGAACAAGGTACGTTATTTTATGTTTCCTATACATTAAACTAAAACTTGATAGATTATTATACAGATTTTTTTCAGTCAGTAAATAACCTTCTCTTTGATCCATGTTCATATCGATGGCACGATTATTGGAGCACCCCTTTTTGGACTCATGAGGTATGGTTTTTCATTATGGAAATATTTATGATTATGTCACCTTGTGACGGATAGGGTACGATAAAGTTGATGGCATTCATATTATTTTATATTATTTTATTTTGCAGTATAATAAGTTCATTGCATATTCATATATCATATAGAGCTCATTCTAAAAGGAAATTTTTTGAAATTTTGTGGGCGTACATACCGCAAATAATATATTTCTATATTTGGAATTTTTCGATTTTCTGATCTGAGTAAGACATTGTCATTTGTTTGCTAAAGTGAGGTATATCAATTTCACCAATGGACAATGCCATTACCTTTTAAACGACGTACTAGATCATTGGTTCAGATAAGAAATAGAAGTTTTTCCCTGAAACAGTAATTAAGCTTTTAATCTGACTGCATGTTTTAAATCGTGTGACAATATGACATGTAAAAACACTCATTACTAAATAATGACAAATTGGGAAAAATCAATTGAACGGATCGTTCATGATTTCTTACGTTACACACGAAAATAGCAACCATACCGGCTACCCTCTCATGGATTCAGGAATTTTATTATCGAAATGGTTTGTGAAACTAAATAAATTTCCGAGGAATTGATTGCTCACTAATGGAAATATATAAAGAGTTTCTCAACCAAACATTTCATAGCACAGAAAGTATTCTTTTCACTCAAAAATATTCAAAAAAGACATGAAAATCAAAGAAAAAATAAGATACATACAGTTTAATGCTCTTTGCAATAATTTCGTTGCCGCTCCAAGATCACTCAAACAACGAAAACGTAGGTTTATCTATTGCAACCCTGTACATAAAATGGCAAGAAAAAAGAGATGTACCGATAATCCTAATAAAAAATTTAATAATGACCTTTTACCACAACGGTGTAGTGGGAATAATAGGCGCACCAAATCTGACCCTTCTCAGGATCAAAACCACCAAATACGTTTTAATTGACGAAGTCTATTTTGGTTCGTCCAGACTATTTATTAACCAAAATTATTTGCATTGTTTCAATATAACTTGATGCAAATGATGAAATTGATTGTTGGTGTTGACTTAATCAAGCGATAAATTGTATTTATCGTAATTACAATAGCAAGATCACTGATTTATCAAATTAAAATTCATATTACAACCCTGCTGATCTTTTGAACGACAGACAAACGATGTTCATGGAAAAAATATCTCATCCCTTCTCTTCTTTTTTTAAAAAATTTAATAAAAAGGCTATATAGCAATTTGTCACACTTTAATAAAGTTTTTGTATTAGAATTTTTAAATTAATGAAAAATAAAAAATTCGATATCAAATCACATACAGAAAATTTCGAACTTTGTTATAACATGAATTATATAAATTAAGAGTCCTAAAACTTTGCATCAGGGACAAATTGTACGCTCGTTTATTAAATTTTATTTGCTTCTCAGTGTTATAAAAAAGGAAAAAAAAACTCGTCCAGCTATTACAGTACTCCGTTATCTGCTAAGCGATCAATCAGGGACAAACACGTTTTGGTGTTATGAAATAATTATTCTACAATATATTTCATAATACTGTAATTAAATGTTTCTTTCACTCATATATTTTAAGTTAACTAGAATTTTTTATAATTATAAAAATTAATTTATATAATTTGAATAATCCTATATTTAATTAAAATTAAAAAAAAATGTTATTTAAAAAGCAACAAAAATCATATACTTATCAGTTTTTATCGATAAATTATAAACTTGCTTTATCGTTACTCGAATAAATTAATGGTCTTTATTTTAATAAACAATATATTATAACAAAATTTAAAATCATATTATATACATCCATAACAATATTGATAATTTTGTTATTAATAAATTTGATAATAATTTTTATTATAAATTAATATTAGATTGTAAATGTTAAAATTAATTCTAACCACATGATATAGCAATTATAGATCCTGGTGTCGCGGGTCAGGGGTCTATCAGCAGTAACGGCGAAATCCTAGACTTCGCGACACTTCGACAGGGGTATCTGTTA